CATCCACTCATCCATCCATATGTCCATCCACCTCCCCTGCCACCCATCCGCTCATCCATCCATATGTCCATCCATCTCCCCTGCCACCCATCCACCCATCCACTCATCCATCCATATGTCCATCAATCTGCCCATCTACCCATCCACCCATCCATCCATATGTCTGTCCATCTCCCCATCCACCCATCTATCCACTCATATATCCATCCATTTCCCCCACCCATCCGTCCATCTGCAGCAGAATAAACAGAAACTCACCCCCCCACACACACACACACCCCTCTCAGGGGTCACAGAGAGACTTTTTGGGGCTGCAGCCATTGAGGTTGGGAACAGGGGCATTCTCAGCTAATGCAAGGCCCTCAGTGAGGAAAACAGGCAGGAGAGGGTGGGAAGACTGCTTTTAGAAGGGTTCGGGTTAACGTGATGTTAATAGGGAAAAATGCATCCCTTGAATGAGATCAAACTGGGGGGCTCTGGAAGTCAGTAAGCACCCTTGATGGATCTGCTCTTCATTGACTTAGGAGAGACTGTCTGCAGCCACCACTGCAGGGAGGGCAAGTCGCTCCCCTCCTGGACCGAAGTGGAGTGCACCCTTGTTCCTTCAGAGCAGCACCTGCAGGGAGAGACAGAAACCCCCTTACTGTCCAGCTGGAGCCAGAGGTGGCAAAGTTTGCCCTAAACCAGACGTGGGGTGGGAACCTGAAGGGGCGACTACAGAGGGGCTGAGGGAGGAACTCGGAGAAGCTGTGGAGAGAGACTCGAGGGATTTGGAAGGTGCTGGGGCAGCATCCCTGAAGGCCGTGGCCACCCTCTGTGGGACACGGGGTCCATTTAGCCAGGTGAGTGTGGCTCCCGGGGTGATGTCTCTGTGCTGCTCTGGGACCACCAGAAGTCCATCAGAGCTGGTTTGTGTGCAGCAGGGCAGCGGGGCAGCTGGGCCTCTGGGCGTGGCCGCCCCCCCACCCACCCACCCGCAGGAGGCAGCTCCTCCTCCCAAGATGGGAGGGCCTGCTGCCTTGGACCAGGTATCATGGTCCCTCCATGGCCTCTGAGAGATGGGAGTAACAGAAGGGACTGTTACTAAGTCCTTGGGTTTAAGCTATTGAATCAGCTTTGGACAAGCCTCACCCTGGGATAGCAGTGAGTACATCTCTGATGTGGGTAGGGCCCTGGTCTGGAGTGAGGGCTGGGACGTCCCCTGGGGTCTGACCCACCAATTCCCACCCCTCACCTGGCAGGCAGCTGCTCCCAGCCCCGGTGCGTGGAGGCAGCACAGAGTGCTGGTCACTGGGGACCTTCTAGTCCTGAGGGCCACTAGGCACAGGAAGAGGCCAGGGGGACAGTGCAGATCCACCCTGAACTGGCTGGGGGACCTAGGACAGGTCATCCTGTCCACCCCGCATTACCATTCCACTTAGGGACCCACTGCCAGCGCACCTTCAGTCCAGGGTGCTAGGGCCCCACTCTAGCCCAGGCTGAAGCAGGAAAACTAGACCTATTCTACAGGACATGGCTTGGCCACAGCTGCTGCCGTCAGCACAGCTGCTTAGAGCAGAGGGACCCAGTGAAAGCTTATGGGAGGCCCTGGGGACAGCGGCTTGTCTCCCAAGCCTGAATCAGTGTCCGCAGTTTGGCACTGCTAGCTGCCAGCTTGTCACCCCAGGGAGGACACCTATCTGAAAAAACAGAATTTCAGTATTTGCTTAAGCCTTGCAAGCCGTCTTC